CGAATTAATTGATTGCCATAACACCAACTGATATCAACAACCACTGATATAAAAAAAATGACGTTTGCATACAAAAGACGTCGAGGGAGGCAATAACGTGTCGGCATACAGCCATATATCATAGTGAGGGTTTTCATAAAGGAGGCGACGCCGACGGGGAGCCGTGCGCTCGGACACTGAAGGCGTTGTTATGCGACGCCGCTGTCCTCGGATAATGTCTTGCATAAATTTACTGTAATCGTGTAAAGCCAGTGCCACTTGCATAATTTAACGCAAGCAACGCTGTTTACATTAAAAACGTCACAGGCAGACATTTAAAAACAGCTGCACTATGGGTCTAAGTTTCTGCGTCTGTTGAATGAATCCACTAATTATGCATGAGAACACTCGCCAATAACAAGAATTTAATGGCGCCAATGTTCCGTTAATTGGAGATACCTGTTTGCAACTTGCATTGCCAACCTATACAGGGAACTAATATCGAACCGTGGCTACCGATTGCTTTTGATCAATTAAATAGCACTTCAGTTATTATGTTCCACTCTGAGTACCTACAAGAAATTTATTGTTTTTGCAAATAACCATAATTACCTTCCTTCTACTTTTCGTCATATTTATTATTATTAAAAAGCGTCTAAGTATCTTGGTATAATTAATATAAGCACTTTAAGAAACCTCAAGCAAGATATTCACAAATAACGAGATCTCTTAAGTAATGCTTAACTGAAGATTAAAGAGAAAACAAAGAGGAACTTGATAATTCATTAAGCATAGTTTGTGCAGAAGTTTTGAAGCAGTCTGATCAATGTGGATAATTAAAATGCAAACAAAGTCTAAAAATAAGAGTAGGGCTAAATGAAGGTTGAAGCTACGTTATGAAACCTTAATTTTAATCAGATTTTGTGGGTTTCAGTATAAGTAACCGTAGAGTACGATGTGAATGTGTTTGCTATAGAGAAGTTGGGCGAGCCCGACAAGCAAGCACGGGTAAGTCGTCGCGCTAATGCAAATTAGTGGAATCACAATTAGCGCTCGATTGTTGTTCGCCCTGCAACTTGCATTTAGTAAATGAAACAGCCAGGTAGAAGATTCTACAAATAAATTATGGAATGGCACACTCTGTTTTCCTTCAATTCTACTATCTGCTACGTTCTCTGCAAAAACGTTTCAATATTGCCTGCAGCACCCACCGCAATGATGCAATATTTTATCTAAGTAATGAACGTTCCAGTGTTTGCACTTGGTTTCATGTTTTCGGTTCATACTAAATCATTTTTCTGGAATGGATGCAAATTTGTTTGCACCATAAAATAATCCTTGGCAGTCGGCTAAAAGGTGGAACATGATTTATATTCAGCTCAAAACATTTAAACCCCATGACATGTAGACATACTTTTATTAAAAACCTCTGCAATTAATAACGTGCTACAAGACGAATATGTTGAGCTATTTGTACAGCAAACAAAATGTCCACGGAATGTCCCTCGGGTTGACAGATGATGTTAAGGGCAATTAATCTTGACCAAATATGCGGGCGAATTGTGGGTTTCGCCTCCGTAGCTAGTAGCGACGGTTGTGCGATATTCCAACGCCTTGCGTGCTTCTCTCTCGCGTTTATCTAGAAACAGTCGGTAAAGCATCACTTACACTTTGGAAAAATTACAAGCTAACTGGTTCAAACTGAACAACATATGCATATTTTCTTTCCCATTTCAATGTGTTGATGTAAAGTTTTATTTACAGCCAGTAAGTACCTGTTCCAATTCTAATAAACCGCCGTACATTTTACAAAAAATATTTTTGTTAAATGGTCATACCATTTTGTTAGGACCACAAAGATGAAAATAAAACCTCAACGTCCACTTTCAGAAAATATTTAATGGTATCTGAAAGACCCCTGTCATTTTCAGCGTATCGTCGGATTCAAACAGTTCAATATTTTAGAAGTTTGATCTTCGTGTTATACGAGTTTCATGGTAGCATTATTATGCGGGTTTTCTGAACGGTGCCTGTGACGACGAGGTGTGGTGAACGAGCAAAGTTATAATAAGTTCGTCCCTTCATCTCTCGAGCGACGCCATTGTCTTTTGATCCGATATAAAGGCGCTAACACTACATACGTTTATTTTTGTCACGAAAATAAATAACTGCTTTTTACCTGTTCGTATAAGTTTCTTTTGTTTTTCGATTATGGTAAATTGCTTTTAGGAAAATATATTACTTAAGTATCTTCACTTGAAATGTCATCTTTTGTTACTCGACTATCAATTTTCTTCTCACTAAGTAGTTCAGTCAGAGCACGTGTTATAGAATCCGTATAACGCCAGTCATCCAACACAAAGTCCGGCTAACCCTAATCATTAATAGGTAATTCGGCCCGCTATCTTTCGTGAAAAGGGCCAAGGGTTAACTAATAATTGTTTTCGCCCGTTACCCGTACTTCTGTAACCCGTCCAGATCGTTTACGGTCATTCTCTTAATGAGATTAATGCATCACTATCTTAGTTACTTCGTTTGTATTATATTTCGGGTGATACATCTACTCGTATGCATTAAGATTATTTATTAGATTTTTATCATTGTCAGATTACATTCATAAATATATTTCATTAGTGTTATTTCATCATTTCAGTTTAGAATAAAGTCCGTTATATTTAACATTGGTTATTGGCAACATTTCATTTCGTTAATTCTCGTCAGTAGGTACCATATATTTATTGTTATTGGATGTTGAGACTTTGAAGATACTTCGTGACTTTTATTACATGTTACGCATTGTCATTGAAACTGGGATATTACATTTACTTTGGAATACTTTACCTGTAATCCTACTTGACGTTTCTTTTTGTACCAACTTATCGCTACACGAAGTTTATCGTCAGAGCCATTGCTACGCTTTACTCGGACGTTCCCTTTAATTAACTACCCCACTTTTTCTTCGCCTTCTACTCATTTCACTGCAATCATTCTTGTCTCTAAATAATTTTGTTTTAAAGCAGCATCTCATTTTCGCATAAAAATAACATTTTACAAGGGTTGGATCCTTTCCAGCTGTGAAAGACGTTAATTTCGATTTAAACTTCTCTGGCCTAGCTTCACTGTCGAATACTTTTAGAATAATAATTTTCGTTCGATTTAAAGATGTTAAATAAAATGGTCTTATATTCTTAGCAGAATTGCCTTTTAGGCCTGGGAAAGGTTATTACATATGGCATTTCCAAATCCTGGTACACAGAGAAGGTTTTTCTTTTTCAATTTACATCAGTCCCTACGATTTTATCGGGGGCGAAGAAATAAAGCACGTCCCGACAGTGAGCAGTTTGAATTAACCTTTCGAGTAGCCTTGTAGATTCGTGGCCCGGTTACGAGCGGGTCATCTGCTAGTTAATATTCAAAGGGTCGCACAATCACGGATTCCGTACGCGTCTCTGCTCCACCGACGCTCACTGTGACCACCCAAAAACCTCCCTTTTACTTACCAAATAGACCTACACTGTTTGTCTCTAAAATTACGTAGACAATTTAGTCAAATGAAACAAAAATTTCGCAAACAGTAGAACGAGCGCGTCACATGAAATTTCATTAGAGCTAAAACATGTTTTCGGACAATAGGTATCGCAGAATATTCACATAAGCTCCCGACCCTCCATTACGGTTCGTTCGTTTACTGAACACAAAGACTGACGTATAAAAATTCTTTTTCTTATCAACAGATACTAAACTAGAATATGAAAGTGTTACTTTTTTCATGTAATCAAGGCTCTGCTGGATTCGATAAACTGTCGATACTGATATCATTTTTTGCGTTATCTGTAAAGAAACACGAACGCGTTTTCTTACATTTTCCTCTGCCAGACCCTAGAGACATCCTATTTTGAGAAGCTAAGTGATCTCACAGACTGAAGGGCACTATTGACAACTTTTTAATGTTCTTTCCATGTTATATAACAACAATAAATATTTTGTGTCTACTTACCAAACAAATGTTTAATATCTCGATATCATTTTAGACAATCCAATAAATAAAATTGAGAAAACGTGGCACTCAGATTCAAATTCGTCGATCATTTCATTATTGTATAAATCTGATTTCACGTTCATTAGTTAACTTTTTGATCAAATTTAATTCAGAATTTTGAGGATTGTTCGTTCAATTTCACGGTTGAATAGATTTGTTTCGGGACTGCAAAGAAATGTTTCAATGTAAGCCTACATTCAAATAATGCGAAGAGGGATTTATAGGAGCGGCCGGTCCAAGTAAAGTATTCACGATTGAATAATTGAATAAACACAGATTCAAAGATAAATCGAAAATGACTAATTGATTAAATATTTATTTTATATAGCTTTAACTTTCGTTCTCTTAACATTTGTCCTTTGAGACGAGATAGTAGAATAGCTATTTTTGTTATACCTAATCATTATACCAGTTCAGTTTTTTTCCTGTAGAACAGATTATTCTATTTTACACATTAATTACACTATCAGCTGTGGCTGTGGGAATTCTTCAACATCAACAACCGTGCAAGTTACATTATCATAAATAATAAGGAAATCAAAACCTCTCACTTTACTAGATTGTCGCAAAACATCACAAATTAAGAGTACCTACCTATCTAGCTAAATGGCAAAGTACTTACACCTAAACACCTAGCCTACGATTCCTGTTTTAACAGTAATAAAACCTTCGCAGCATAACTTATTGCCGTAAGGAAAGTTATAATCAAGCACTTGTTCTGTTATAATTAAAATTTACGACTAGTCCGTTCCTAATTAATGGCAGTTTCTATGGTTATATCATAGCGAAGTTTATAGTAGGACTGTTTAATGCTCTTGTCTCACTGTTTTCCTTGTAGAAATATAAAATAATAAAATGTCAATATAATAAAGCATTATTTTAGGAAAAGAATAATAACAAAAAAACACCTAAATCAAGTACTTACGCCTAAAGGCAAGCTGTAAGCTGAAAATAATAACACTTTTGTTTTTGTTTGTTGCAGATATCACCGATGAGCCGAGGCGTAGTAGACTCTGATCTGTCCTGGAGACGGATGCCGTGAGCTCTTTACCAAGGAGCGCACGACGTCGGCGTGATGAGCACAACCCGCCATAATGCGTCGGCGGCCACTTTAAACCGGGATCGGACGCGTTTGTCGGCTCGAGATGGCCGTCAATCGCGGCGAACGCGCATTCAGCCTCCCTGCGCACGCGCAATCCCATACTCCACCGCGGCACTATGAAATGTGGAAACACGGCAAGTGGCGACAGAAAACGTCACCACCAAGGACAAACGCAGCCGTTAGGGTTCCGAGATAGAAACTTTGTATAGTGAAATCCTTAGAGGCCTAAGTGTTACTTTTGTGTGTAAATATAGTGGTGAATAGATGTTAAGGATGGCGGGCGAGAGTAGAGGTGTACGTGCGCCGCTGCTAGAGAGCGGTGGGGCAGAGTATGCACATCCGCACAAAGCTTCGGCGCCAAGATGCTGCTTCTGGCTAGCAAGCCACGTGAACGTGAGGAAGTGTGTCGCCGGTGTCATGCTGCTATCCGTCCTCACCATATTCTTCTATACATATTACGTCACAGTACCTCTCACTAGGTAAGTCAACAGCTTACAGTCACATTAATCTTCACTGAAGCGAACTACGTTAAATGTTTATTAATGAACATACAAACAGAAAGCAAAAGTGGACTGACCGTGTTGTGTGCAATACAAATCACACAAAGCACGTTATGATAGTCAAACCGCGATTTATTGTTTCTATTATTCTCTTTCATAATTGAGATGTTAGTTAATCGTAATATATTCTTTATAACATCGGATATTTAACTTTGCTCATTATAACATTATATTCATTAAAATTTTAGCGAAACGCGCCAGAATTTAATTAATTAATCTAGTTGAAAATATGCGCCATTGGCATAAAATCCAATTTGCTTCCTATCGGCAGCAAACACGTAGTTGATACGAATTAATAATATGAAATTATCGCACTCGGACAGCTCTTCGTTGTGTCACACAGTTATTTATTGGGATTAGCTAGGAGTTAAGTAGATATTTATGTTGTCCGTTTATTGTTTAACTATTGTTTTCTATTTGAATTGTTAAATAACAATATAAATTCAAAGTAGGCCAACTTTCCTGCTTATAAAATAGCTTATTATGTTTTAAAAAGGTTCGCTTTTATGTGTAAACCCCTTTGACATGCAAGAGACGTTTTCATTTTATATCCTAAGATTTTACGGAAACGTATTTGCATAAACTCATCCTATTCTTATCTCAGTTGAAGTACACGTACAGAAAACTTCTATTTTCTGGGTGTCTTCCGGTCGCATAGAAACGAATTCAAGTGTCACAAACATGTTATAGAAACTCCGAACTCGTTCAGTTAAACATATTTACCTTTTATTTCAATAGCAAGGGATTCATTATGCATAAAATTGGCATTTAATATCTAGAAGAAATTGCTTCGCGGAAGTATTAAAGACGTTTAACTTTGTGCCGAGCGTCCTTGTCGCCCTTTGTTTGGCAGCTTTTCGCAGCTAAATTAGGACGAGGAGGCGAATATTTCAGAGTAATTTATAACGTGATTTTATGTAATTAGGGCAGATGGCGTGTAGCTAGGGCCCATAATATTTTATTTTATCGGCTTAAAATTACATCGCCCGAGATGAGCGGCAGGGGCGGTAAGTTTCGCCGACTCAGTTCGATTTATAGCAAAACTTGTGTTCTGGCTAATTAATGGAAGCTGCTTCGCTGCAAACTCGCTGATTTAAGGGTGTATTGTTTTATGGAACGTTTATTTACTACTAACCCCCAATTAAGTTTAGGTACTGTCCAAATTTTCGCTTTCGTAATTTGCATGCAAATCTCGCCTCATTAATGCTAATCACGCCTAATTAAGTTATTGATGGCAAGTGAATACGGTATTTGAATAGTAAATAAAGAATGTATTAATGTCCGATACCTAGGTCGGTATATCTTTTAAGTGTCGTCGTTAAAGTTTCCTCTTGGTTGACTCAGGCGTGGCTTTCATTAAAGCAAAGAGGCCACAAGACTCAGCCGCGGCTCACAGGACCACTGCCGGCTACGGATAAAATATTTCCACAAATTCCTGCCTTTATTTATTTTACGCTATTGAGATAAACCTTAATGGCGCTTTGATGTGGCTCCTACTTGGAACGCAGCTCTAAGTTTGGCAGTCTTTGATTGATTTTCTTGTAAAATTTGTTTCTGTGGTGACTTAGTACGCAAATGGTGTAACTTGGATTTTAATTGCCGGCTCATTTGCTCAGGTGCGGGAAAATTTCCCCAGTTTAAATTGGCTTTTTATCACAATTTTGTGTTCAGCTGTTTTATGTTTTTGATTAAATAAATCAAGATATGGTATTAGTGGATTGAAATATTAGGCACACATTTTGTCCTACTGACGTAGTTCTATCTATCTATAGAATATCAATATGGAATAAATGAAATTCATATCATGGCGCTTCCGTAATATAAAAACTCACTGGCAAACTTACAACTAAAACTTTAACCAAACTAGAATTTGCTCTTGCTTCGTGGGTGTCAAACATTACATATTACGCATCATAGATCCCGCCCACACACAAAACCCCATAATTTCTTGTTTTCAAAGCTTTTTTGTTTTGTATAAACGAATAATTTTGTCAACGGAGACATACTGAAGGTCACCATGTTTCATCAGACATAAGAAATCAATTTTACCATCATACGCTCGAAATTCGTTATAGTGACTCAGGGATTAATAAATAAGATGTTTCCAGTCTGGTGTGGCGCGACCGCGTCCCGAGACCGTTGTCGCAATGCTCGTTGCTTGCGTCGCAGCAACAGGCGGCGCGCGACCATCGCTCGGATGCGCGACTTCGCATCGACGCGAAGGTGCTCGTGATTGTCGAGTCGGCCTACTCGCGACTTGGCCGCGACATCGCCGAACTGCTTGTCGCCAACCGTATACGGTAAGTTCACTCCGCCTAAACAATATAAGCGTTATTTGATAGTTTTTATAAAAAAAATGTTATTGAAATACATATATTGAACGTTTCAAGTTGCCCTTCGAGAACTTAATACCTCGCTTCTTTTATGGCAGCGCAACATTTTTTTACAGTAGGTACTCTTGTAATATTCTTCTGTAACTTGCTAAGGCAAGTGAACAAATTCAGCATAAAACACTCGAATCGGTCCTGAACATTAAACTTTTGACCGCAGCATAACGTGTAGCTCGAGTTCTAGAATGGAAGTAGTTTCACGAAATGTTTCACGGTTTATTTAACTTAAAAATTTTTCACCATTTTAAGCATTATACTCGTTGGTAGGTTGACAATTGTAAGCGAAATAAAAACTCTGAAAGTTGAAATAATAAAATATGAACTTGAATATGGAAACTTTCGTAAGATCATGCAGAAATGTACCTCACTAGATTAACCCATTCAAAATTATAGAAATGACTTCCAGTAGCAATATCTTAAAGTTATCATGTAAATATTTACTGAGTTGGGTCTTGATAGGTGTTGTGGGGGCGATGCGCCTCCCTTTGTTTGTTTTCTCTTGTAGAGAGCGCGAGGCGATCGGTTGTGCCCGCTGACAGCTAATATGCGCACCAGTGATGTACTGCATCGGGTAGCGTATTGGGGAAACAACTTTTGTTTTGTAAAACGCTCAGAACAAGCTGTGGTTACTAGAACACCTAGAATTTTGAAATCGCTTCCGTGTTTAGCGCTCTCCATGATATAAACTGGTTATTAGTTCTTAGATACTACGTGTAATTAAGTACTTACTTACTAAGATAAATGGATAACACTGTTCTTTTATATAATCTCATACGTCTATACTTTCTACTTAGCTCAGTAATAAAATGATCTTTTTGTATCACTGTGATAGTCAATGTCAAAAAATCATGTCTAAATGACACAATAACGACCAAAAATTTCCCTTCTGCTTCTGTGTGGTATACAAATAGACAAATCTATTAGGTGTCTATAAACTGTCAACCAATAGAAACTGACAAGAAGTTTTATGCGGAAGTAAAGCTTAGTAATGTAATTTTCACTATTAATAGAACTCTAAAATGTATCAGTAGATTTTACGACAGAAATTGCAATAAATATGTCTTAAGTCACTGAATTTGTTAGGCTGGGCTGCTTATTGATTCGAATGTATATTTTATACTGAACTGCATTGCATTAGCTTACATAAAGTATGGCTGTTTGTTGTCCACAAATCCCAGGTTCATCTATTGTAAAGTTACGCAAGTTTATTCCCGAGGTGATCCGTAAACCTATATTCTACTGCAGTGACACAAAAATTATACGTGATTCTGAACTCATTCAACAACTGTAGTAGAAACAAGAATAGCTTACGAGACATGAAGGCGTAAGAAATATACTACAATTACTTACATTGATAACCCACCCAGATCTCAAAAAAGCGAGTCATAACAATGAACAGCGAAACATAAATAAAATGATAACTATAGCCATTTGAACTTTAACATCGGTAATTCCCTTTAAAGTAACTAGATCTTTGTGCTATCTCTCTACACGATTTTCCTTAATATTCATGTTTATTATTACAAACGATCATGATTCTAAATAATAACTATTCAGTTAATAAATGGCGTTCACATGTTGTATGTTATCGCTGCGATTTGTAATTAAATTATTATTAACTTCTTAGAGCTAGCAGAAATACTGCAACCATTGGTCAAAACTTTTAAAACGTGTTGAATAATATATTTGAAGAACTGAATAATAGAAACTAACTAATTCGCATTAAAGTGTCCAGTGTCCAAGTAGAGTTTAAAAAGCTTGTTCATAATTCAGTCTCCATTCATCATTGATAAAATTAATTTATAAATCTTGCAGTATTAAAATGTCTCCGGTTTATTTTCCGGTCTAAATATTGTGTCTCTCGGACGGCCGCCCTACTTGCGTTGATATGAGACTTTTTGCTCCTGTCGGGTAAAAATCGGTTTCCTCTCGAGCAGTGCCGTGCTTCAGTGAACTGTACGCTTGCTTATGAAATGTTTGACGGGTCAGGAATTAGTTTTCCTCCTTGATATTTTTTATCGAAGCTTTTCCCTTAGGCCTCGGGTTTTATCGCATTTACAGACTTCGTTTACGGACTGCAGACGATATTTTTTTTCTATATCTCTTCGTTGGTCTGGTATTTTATTTGCGTCTTTAACTTAGGTATCTTGAAACTCATTTTTGAGAACATGTTTTATTGACAATGATTACGAAATTATTACTTTTTTGACATACGGATCAGAAACGTGGTCACGTTATCCACAGCGTTTCTAAGAAATGTTATAGATAAACCTCTTAACCTCGATGAGCTAATAAGTAGTGTGTACGCTCGTCCATATATGTAAGTAACCTTGTATTGTACATACATTATCGGAACACCCGGTTCCGTGGGCGTTCTTTATAGATACGAGTACAAAACGCAATCATCGAAAAAGCTTATCTCCGCCATTAATATTTCAAAGAAACATTATTGTAATTAGTTAAGTGATATCTAAATTGCTTGATTTGTTTTTTTTTCTGTGCTAGGCAACGATTTGTTTATATGGGGATGTAATATGTCATCATCGTAGCCAATAATTGCTACGATTCTAATAGCCGAGTAATTAGAGCCAAGTAATTGAGTACTTTACGACAGGGCTGTCTTTTCAATTAATTTTATAATACCTGTCTTCCTCAAGTTACTCGGTGAATTCTTATTTTTCATTTGACAGGTGGTCCTGATAATTAAGATAAAAAAATAGATTTCAAGCTGTTTATGTCGCCTACATTCATTACACTATTTTTTGTACTTAGATAACTGTACATTTCATTTTTACAATACTTTTATGGATTTAGCTGCTTATAAATTGTACTAATCGTGTCTGTTATTTATTTTATTATTGCTTCATGTAGAAATACTGGACTGTCAGCCTAGTCAAAATTCTTATTTTGATTTGTTAAAGTGGTAGTGAAAGAAAGAAAGGAAAAATATGTTTTTCACTAAAAAAACAACGAAAACTGTACAGTTGTCGTCGAGAAATATTACGGCGATTGCATTTATTTCAGTTAATATCAGAACTTGATCCTTGAACACGCCGTTTTGTTTAATTACTTATTCGCACATACATACTAAAAATAATCAATGAGCTTACACAAGCCTATTAATAATTTTAAAGATTTGGCGATCCTAAACCTATATTTACCGAAAGTATTTTATTTTTTAAAGTAATAATAGTATTAGCTACTTATGTGTTAAAAACTGCCCCAAAAAACTTTTACTAATTAACTTACATACAAAGTGTAGCCTCATACCACTGCTTAATGTAGGATCACCTTTTATTACATGTACACACGCATAAAACGAAAGGCTCCATTTTGTCCCGAGTGCCTGTCATAAAACTGTACTAAATAAAAATAGAGTAAAACAGAAAAAAATACTGTGACATTGCCTTACTAGCCCCAACAAGCGTATAAACGTTCTCATTTATCTAAATAAATACAAATATTTTATTTATTAACATCACTGAAACCGTATTTCCAAAAAAATACAACAATGGACGTAAATATTTGTAAATCCTGTTAAACTCCATTGTTGTCATAGAATGATTTAGCATCGAAATACTTACACAATATGGATTCAGTTCCGAATGCAAACAAAGGTTACATTGTTGAAATTCCACTTTATTATGAATTCCATTGACCCAAATATAGTTGCTTACACAAAATTACCATGACCCGGTAATGCAGTGCGGTCTAATTAGTTGATAATTCGGACACACACCAACATTTCTGGATACGAATACGAGGTAGTATAGTTAATTCAATTTAAGGCAAGGTATAAGGTGACAGCTGAGTCGCGAACTATGGAAGGCGACATGAGCGCGAGGCGAAGCTTGAACGCGACGTCTACTCTACGGCGAGTCGTTGTGGCGACAGTTAGTTAGTTAGTAGTGCCATTAGAGGCAAGCCCGCGGCATCCCGCCCCCTATCTCGCCGCCTCGTTCTCCATTAATGCTCGTTTGTGTCAAAACGACTTAATATAAAGTAATTAAGTCGTTTTGACACTGTTTCCTTTAATCTTGCCCGAAACCTTCCTCGTAAATACAAGTAAACTGCTTTACGTACACAAACGTATACCCAGAGGTCCCTGCTACGATTCATACCGTTGAGTTTTACTTTAAAACTGAGGACAACGACTGCAGTTAATTGACTGTGAGAGAAAGATTAGGCGGTTTATTTGAGCCTGTACCAGAGTAGCTTTACTTGAATGGAATGCAACGATTTAACATCGTTCACTTCACTTGCTTTAGTACAATGTAGTTTCGGTAAAATTATTTGATAACCCTCACATGTGTTCTAGTTTGTTTTCGAGTTTGATTGCTAACGTTCACTTGACCCTCATGTAAGCTTTGGCACCGTTTATTACTCCCAGCCCTCGTAAACTTCTCTTTATAGTGCACACGAGGGTAAGCCGCTTTTTTAATAGAGCGTTAATGGTAACTATACTCTCGTGTCAAGGACCAACCCTCCGATAGCCTTTCAATGTCATGAATGCAGTTTGAGTTATACAACAGTCCCCTTTAGAATTAACGACCTTCTTATTCTATTTCTTTTGTCTTCAAAAACATCTTTTATTACGTAAAATAAAATTGCTGACAATAAAACTTTGTGAAAGTGAGTGAATTTTATATTGACCAATTTAAAAGTCGCGTAATAAAAGTTTGTTCTAACGACTTTATGTTGCAAGCTCCTTTTCTTACTGGCTAGGTAATGTATGCCCTTAATTGAGTTCGTGTCTCACAAGGCTTTACTTTTTCAAGTACAATTGGACATGTAACGACCAACGACGGTTCATTTAGGAAGTTGCAAGTTACCATAAGTACTGAACATAAAGCAGCGAAGTCTCTGAACATTGGCGACTTGCCCTCAATTGAGACGAACTGGGGTGTCTGGTAATTACTGTACTTCTCTATTTACGTTAATAGTGCTACGTAACTGGTGGAGCTTCCATTAGCAGTTACTCGAAGTTTTGTATCTTTCAAATATATTTTGTACTTGCTAACATTTACACACGGCAGATACACTTCCGCGCGAGCCTCAAAGAGCCATCAGACCATGGATCAATACGGAGCCGCGGAAGGCCTAACGGGTTGCTCCAGCTCGAAGAGCAGGTGTAGGAACGGGGGTGGTTTTTAGTCAGTAAGAGTCTGACACTCCCTCTCGCCAACCCAAGGTGCGAAAAGTCATTGGGTGATTTTCCCCCCTTAAAAAAAAGGCTGTGGCCGGAGCGTCACCTTGGCAGATATAATTACAAATGCCACACCCCGCACCAGTTCCCTGTGTCCACCACCCTAAAAGTTTGTAAATACGGTTGTTTAATTTTTGAAAGCTAAGGTTTCTGCTTATTATGTAAGCAGCCTTTGTAATTGAGAATAATATAAAGATTTCCTTAATTTTTTCCGTTTTCTGGGTAACCGTAGCGCAGTTATACCAGCCTCTTTACGATAACTGTCGTTATCCTAAGGGGCGGCAGGTCACCGAGGTCGTACGCCGTGACATTGCTCCCCTTTATTGAACTCACTCGCACTCCCTTATCACGAATTAGCTCTCCTCGCATTCGGTTCACGGACAAAGTAGGCCGTTTCGCGCGCTCTAATTTAAACTGAGCGCTCTCCCGGTTTAATGTCAGGACACTAATTAAGGTAATTAGAAACATGTTAGCGCAAGCTAAATAGTGACGCAGTGCTCACGTTCGTTGTTTCATTGTCGGCGTAGCTTTATGACCGCCGAACTTTACATAAGCGTCTGCATTTTAAAATGCGCATGAAAATGGCAAACTTTTGTATCGGACCGTTTGCTCGGTGTAGTATATACTAGTAGCTGAACAAAGTTGCCACCGAGTACACCGTACATTAGACGGAAAGACGGACCGGCTCGAGTGGGTAAATGCTATTTGCAAGTTGCCATTCGCCCTAGACTCGGTCTGGAGTGCTCTCCCGCTGCCAAATTGAAACGAGCCTCAACTGGAGCAAAATGAACGACCTGGTCCCGATACCTGTATGCTACTTGCTACTCTTATTCCCCCAGTCGATGCATTTTTTCTGTTCCCTGACCTGTATTGAACCCGGATACTTGTCAGATTTTCCCAATATCGGTAAAATGGGTATTTTTGATTGAAAATTGGAAAGTATCCTAAAAGCGAATGTTTGGACAGTTCAATTTTCAATATTGCCAATCAACTTCAGCGGCTTGTTCGCTGTTTGACAAGGGGACGCCCGTCGCCGTCTGCTATTTAAACTGTACAATTTTATAACGCGGAGTGGAACCGTCATTGATTTAATTGGTAGATATGACTTGGAAAATATAGCTTTGAATTACAAATATTTCCACTTCAGTAGCATTATTATTGCTTCATTGAGGAGAAATATTAAATCATAGCGTTGGTTTTTGTAGTCAAAAACCAATGACTAATGACAGTTGAAAATTAGGGTTGTGGAGACTTTATTTTTATTCATGCAGATTCTGTGTTTATAAACTTGTTCCTGAGAATGATATTAATTCTATGGCAAATTAGTAGGAGTGCAGTCGCAACCTCGCAGGTACCGAAGGCCTTCACCTTCACCGTATTGATCCTGCACCTACTAAAGACGCTGCAGTCAGGCGGATAGCTGTCTCTTATTCATTACTTTTCCACTATTATTGTAACTCTGATTTAATAATAACATTTTAATTAAATACCATTAACTCTGTTATCTCTCTCGAGAAACTATCTTAATGAAGTCAATTTATTTTTAATTATTAAATGAATTCTCCTCATAAATGAGTTCCAATGGAATATTTTAATTCAAAAAAGTGCATTACTACTTTCTGATCATTTAATTGTCACTTAGTATAAATCCTGCTGCTCAGAGACTTAAACAAATCAACCAAGACTTCGTTCTACTAACATAACACTCAATTTCTTCAATAAAAAACTCAGTCGCACTTATCAGAAGAATACACAATGCAATAAAAACAAGATAATTAAATATAGTTATTAATAACTTTACCGTAGCAACTCCGCCGCTACTAGTGATGCTATCTCGAAATCGATACAACAGTAGTCAAGAGTTGTACGTTACTCGACTCTTATCTGGTGTACGATATACTTACCGACCTATAAAATATTGTTTTTTAAACTTAGTAGTCATTTATAAATATTATGACAAACATATCACCCATGATTACTTGTAAGAAATTTTAAGTTGAAAGGTAATTGTGAATATGCCAATGTTTTTTTACGTAATTAGCCCAGGATAACCACTGCCAATATTTTCGTATGCAGAAACACCAAATCATTTACCGATGTATTTATGGTTTTATGAACAAGTAGTACTTATACAATTACTACATATTTAACGACTTCAATTTTAACTTTATTAAAATTAAATCTGCCTTTGTTTACTTCGATGGACGAGTTAATGCTGAATAGTTGATGAATAGTCACACGTTGATGTCAAAAATGCTGAAGTAAGGTACTACTGCTAACACAAAAAGGAAAATAATCTTACTCTACTATTACTATATTTAGTAGAGTAATGTAAAAATTTTACTTGCCTTGATTAAAGGTCAAACACTTGAAAATTTTATCCAATTTATTTTTATTTAGGTACAAGGTGGAAGTCGCGGGTAAGAGTCTGCCCGTACTTACCACTTTGGACAAGGGGCGTTACGGCGTGATCGTGTTCGAATCGCTATCGAAATACGCGAACATGGATAAGTGGAATCGAGAACTCCTCGATAAGTACTGCAGGGAATATTCTGTGGGTGTTGTTGCGTTCGCAACGCCTGGGGAAGAGACTCTAGTTGGCGCACAGCTGAAAGGATTCCCTCTGTTCATGCATACTAATTTAAGACTAAAGGTGAGTACTGTTTTGTTTGTACTATTATATGTATATACCTACATACATATTTGTAACAGAAACTTGATCTACTTTAAAAACAAAGAGATTGCGAGTTAAACTCTTCTAAATTAACCATGCATGTGTAGCTATAAACAATGGTAAATAGAATTACTAATTACAGTGCTATTTAATTGACAATCGGGCAGATATCATCAGCTACCAGCTACCAAAATACATAGATACCATCAGTATGTCAGAATATTGTTTTTAAAAGTTGTAAACTTTTTGTAGTATCGTAGGTAGGTGGGTAGGTAGGTAGGTACCACATGTTGTGAGTACTGTAAGCACAAAACATCTTTGTAATCGTTATGATCCACAATCCATCATTATAATCTATCAGTCAATACAAAGCGGTAGTCATTTAAATATCTAATTAAAACCATTAGAATATCAACTTTAATAATTGTGTACCAAGAGCTGTGAGTATTAGGTGCCCATTGTAAACTGATTACTATTACAATGGCTGGTCAGACGGAAACTAATCATTCAAACATTAATTGACAGTAAAATAAATATAGATATTAGAAAATTGATTAAACTGTCAAACACCAAGCGGTCACCGGTGACCGCAACCTATTGTTCTATAATTGTGTCTACAAAACCGGTACTCGACGAGATATTGGAAATAAATATTACTACGTAAGGGGCTATTTATATTTATTCTAATGTTATATGATAAAAGTCAATAATACTCAGGAGGTTTATTCTTAAAAGGAAATTTGGTCACTAGGTGGGAGTTTTTCTAACAACTGAAATGTACCAAAATTCATGTAACACCTACTCATCAAATTTATTAGTTTTCGATGAAACAGAGAAGTAATAGAAATTCTCAATAATTAAGTTAAAATTACAAGTTACTCACGTAACTATACTGAGAAAAGCTCTACTAGTTTCGAGTCGCAGAGGGACTCTTCCTCATGAGCAGCGTGTACAGTCGCGGCGATGTCACGCAGTCTACTTTGCCTGTAGAGTTTTGACTCGAAACTAGTAGAGCTCGTAATTTTTACTAAATTCAACATGTTTCACGATAGTTATTACTCAATAATCTTTTTTGATTGCAACCTAGGACGCAACGCTAAACCCAGCATCGCCAGTGCTCCGACTTGCCCGCGCTGGCGAGACGGCCTGGGGGGCACTTCCAGGCGATCACTGGGCAGTGTTCAGGGCCAACAGCTCAACTTACGAACCCGTTGCCTGGGCATTGAGGCAAAACGAATACGAATCCACTGGTAAGTTAATTTTGTATTTAATCTTTTTACCTTATCTATCTTTTATTTTTATTCGTTTAATTTGTAAGGTACCTACCTTATAGCGGCTGCACTACACTAAGCACTGGTGCAGCTTCGAAACTTCTACATTTTTTTTTATAAAAATAATGTTCTATCAGCACTAAAGTAAGTAGGTACTAGCTAAGTTTACCTTCATACTGGACCGGCCACCGTCACCCCAAGACCAAAGCTCGTAAAATTCAGATCGTTCAATGTACAAAACATTCTGGCATGTACTTTTAAATGAATCACCTGAAAGTACAAAGTAACTTTCTTATCCATCGATACAACACACGACGTATACGAGTCACTAACAAAACATGCCATTGAAGGCACAGCCTCAAAATTCAACCAATATATCGAAAGTACCGCAACATGTTCGGGTAACAACGTAAACTACTACCATAAAGAAGGAATATTACGCAACACATTACCCGATATATCGTGCTCAAATCTAATGGTAGTTTCGAATAACGTCAATTAATATTAATCACGCCCGTCATCATGTCCTAATTAATGGAAGGAATGCCATAACACTTACATAGATTCGAGCAATCTATTCGCGGCATTAACACTATTCCGCGAAGGTTTTTCTGCAAATTATTATGCTATTCGCGTAGTATATTTTATTTTTCCTTTAATCGTAGCTGTTTTGTTTTGCTATTGTACTATGACATTGTTGTTTAACCTTTTTTGGTTATCCTTTGTTAGCATACCAGTATCAAAATTCATTTCTTTAATAGAGACTAATGCCGGAATACTGAAACGTTACTCAATTTTGAGTCGTGCTTAAATATCGTGCCATCTCTGTCATTTTACAAAGAATTTGTAGTGACAGAACTATACTTAAGCACAACTTAAAATTGAGTAGCGTTTCAGTATTCCGACATATATTGTTTACTATGCGACACTTAATGTTATCACTGAAGGTAATTTCGTTCCTAACTATTCCGTAATGTAATCTCCATTACTGAACTTTAACGACTTCACGAATTTATTTAATTAACAGCTATGCTTAAACTGTTAAGTGCTCATCAAGAAAATCCCTTGTCCTTACCTTCAGATTTGATTAATCGACATTTTCGTCCATAAAGCAGGTCTATAAAAACTTTTACTCTCATAACAACGATAAAAATTAAATGACTGTTGAGTACCGATTACGAGGAAAATTAATTTTGTGCTTTAAAGAAGGTCCCGCAGGAAGTAAAAAGCAACAATGAATTAATTAAATTTAAATAATCTGTTTAATTTTAACGTAAGCCTAAAAGCTGAACGCAGCTGTTGAAACAGATTTGAAATAACAAAAGTGGAAAATTATGGCGTTACAGTCACCCACAGAAGACCGAAAATAATTATGTAAATCGCTATTACTCGTACACTCGTACACTATACCAGTTTATACGAGGCGAAGGCTACAAGCTACGCGTACGGCCACACTCTCACTGTCCACGACAGTCCGGGACAATTTGCATACATCTACCTACATTCCTCATGACTCATGAGAACAAATATCCAATCATTATCATTAATACGATTTTAGTTAGCTATTTTAGCCATCATTGTGTAATATGCTAATCAGTTTCCTCACATTGTTTAAGAAAATATATCCGTTCAAAATGCACGAACTCTAAAACAATATGAATGAATTATGTAATGAATTATCTTAAATCGGTGATTCCTATGCTGATGAAGTGGGCTGAATATTGTTATGGTTAAAGATAGGATTTGTAAAGCTTAATAGAAGTACTCATAATGTAAGACCTAGTCGGTACAAGTCAGAATTGTGTAACAATCTCGCCTAGTGATAAAGAGTCAAGTATAAATAACGAAAATTCTTAATTGTGCCAATATAATGCCACAATAAAAAATAAATGGCTCAATTTGTTTGTCATAGGTGAAAATAAATGCTAGCGTGGGTGTAGCTTACGTTATCTCTCTTTCTATGCCAATAGCCAATACAGTTTGCGAGTTTGCCCCATCCATTTCACAAAGGCAAAACAGCCCGAAGTCAACAAAGTCAATAAAACAGTACCCTAAATTATAGCAATGTTTACAGAGGAGCGCATGCCGCTAGCGACAGTGATACAAGACCACGGCCGTTTGGACGGCGTCCAACGCGTACTGTTCGGCTCGGGCCTACAGTTTTGGCTGCACAGGATACTGTTCCTGGATGCTCTTAGCTACCTCAGCCACGGCCAGCTTAGCTTGAGCCTCGACAGGTGGATACTGGTCGATATAGATGATATCTTCGTGGGAGAAAGAGGTACGTTCATAGTTTTAACCACACATTAAGTATATGTCATATATTTCACTGCACTAACTTTTATTTGAAATTTCAACATTTTCTTTCCCATCTTATAGACTTCAAGCGTTTCAATAACAAACACTTAACAAACTGAGTAAACTTTTATCGTACACTAACACGGGGGTTTTACTACTCGTTTTCCTATTAACGTACATAGAATAGTTCAATTGGCTTCTTTTATTACTCGTGTTATCACAAGCTCAAATGTCCTGGAGTATCGGGTCTGAATACATATCGACGATTACCCATATTCATTTATAGAAATCGATACAAAAGAGAGAAATATGGACGGAATGTTAACCACTTCCAAACGTAAAACACGAATAAATTAATATGGAGCTCAATCAATCCAACATTGTGTAGCGTTTAGTTGCCTTTGTCCTATCTATTAGTATGCACACAAGATCTGAATAATATTAGCACCTTGGTGCATTGAATAGTAATAGGTGCCCTTTATACGTTTGTGCGTATAGCAACTAATATTCGCATGCTCCGATACGGCTCTCATGCCTAATCAAATTGTTAGGCAATGTGCTAAATAGATCCCTACAAACGTGAAGCAATTATGGTTTAGTTTATTGAACCTATGCAACAACCTTGGAATACATAAATTGTTTGTTCATATTGTTATTCAAATGTTACAATTGTTCTTGGGAATAGTATATCCATTACTATCTACTTAATGCAATTGTGTAGTTATTGCTTCTCCATGAAAATGTACACGTTACTTCATCCTCCCATTCTCGTTATTCAAGTGTATGTGAGAGTGAGAGTGAGAGTGACCGTTGAAGAAACAATCTCTTTTTCGTTTTCTCAATGTCTTTGTACTTTCTTCCAATAGGAACTCGACTACACGAAGAAGACGTGGCGGCTATGTTAGCGTCACAGACTGCGCTACAACGATTAGTGCCGGGATTCAGGTTCAACCTGGGTTACAGTGCTAAGTACTATCATCATGGGACGTCACTTGAAAACCAAGGTGACGACGCCTTGTTGAGGAACCGGGAACATTTTACTTGGTAAGTTGATTAACATGATAACATCATTACAATTTTGTCCAAAATCACTCTCTTTTTGCGTGAAAACCCACCCTCATTAGCTTGGCCATACCCAGAGTAACTTTACATCTGCCTAGTTCGGTAATCCAAGTGTGGCCTAGGGAGGATATTCCTGGATCACCCGGCCGGCATAGGCTGCCATACTTATCAAATCCTATACACTGTTTCTAGAGAAATTAGACCACTCGTCCTATGAGAGTCCAAAGTAGCATTATCTTACACTTCGGTTCGTCTTAAAAAATATTCAGTTATTTTCCTTAAAAAAAGAAGTTAATTAATGAATTTAAACCACCTACACATTATTATAAATAGATAGCGAGTACAGAATAGTAGTCCCGCAACTCACATATAGCAATTTGATTGACCAACGACGGCACACTAGTGAAGGGCGTTGATAGATGAAATGCAAAAGTGAATAGCGGATAGAGCAGTGCTATTCTCCTGGCATTAGGTACGACTTGGAGCATGGCTGTTATTTTGATTTCATATTGAACCCATACATATGTAACTTGCATCACCATTTCTGCAAGATTGATAGTCATGTCTATATTCACATATGAAAGGCTTTGGATATACATTTACATATCGTAAATGCCTGTGTGATATGTGTAACAATGTATTCTCTCAAACACATCTGTATCCTAACAATGAGACTTATGTGACCATTTTAAAGGGAATCCATTAAACATATGTACTAAAATAATTGCCCTTTACGTACAAATCTGGGCAGTTCTATTTTACGGAGCTCAATAAGGTCACGTTCATTGTTTCGCCCCAAAACATTATAATACATTCTAATAGAAGCGGCGCTTTTAGTAGGTAGGTACGTTATTAGCACCCAAGGTAACAGTTACAGAGGACTTAGTTTCAGCCCGACAAGTCTTCGTAAACTTAATATGCATATGAGCGCCAAGTTTCAGTTCTCTCGTGTCTGTGTTCTGACGGTTCATTTATCAAGCAAGTATATGCGTGTATTGAGAACTTTACTAAAATATGTATTGAGGTAGCAGCCTTGTACAGGCACAAAAGGTGTTTTATTGGATGTCGGCACGACGTTTTCGAGTAAATCTAAATAACTTAAGATTGTAAGTTACGCAACAAGTCCTTGCTTAAATTTGCAAGATTGTTTGTATGTAACGTATTGTACCTGCTTAGATTCTCGTTTTGTAAGATATTAAGGTTTACTAGGTGGGAGTTACAGACCTTTGAATTTTCAACTGGAAAATCACTTAAATTAGAACAATTACAAATTTGTAGTCTGTGTAGTATTAAAGTCCCTTCATGAAATGAACACTGTGTACAGAGCACTGTCAATCATCAATTAAATGTTAACTGTCACTATAATACTTACATGTCAGTAAATAGCTTAGTATTATCGCAATGTCTCAAATAGATAACGTAGCATTGTAGCTCATTAGTCGTGGCATGTAACCTTATTAGAACTGACCGCTTTGTTATCAAGCTCATCGCAAAACCCCCGTTATTGTACTAAGTGGTCACAATTGCACGTATTATTGCATTATCTTAGTTTACCTTGAACTGACCCTTCCGTCAGAGCAAATTAACACGATTATCTCTGTGCGTTTCTGAATTAGCGTGTAATCTTTACCCTGTCTCGCTAATAACTGGCAAAGAAATACACTTCTTGATTCTAAAAGACAACGTACTTAGGCATTAAAAAAGATTCTTCCACCATTTTGCGCCAAAAGGCTTGGTGTCTTAAAAGTCTTATGTAATATTAAACTTGTATGTTTTCGTTATGAACACATGTAGTCTAAGCTTAATATTGTACTACGCCTTTACGAATTTCGGAAATAATAATTTAGTGTTTGAAATGTTTTTGATTATCCTTGATTTAACTTAAGAATATTTTTTGGTCGTGCCCTCCACAAATACTTAACAGCAAATATCTTGTTGTCCAAAGGTTTTGTCACATGTGGAACCACCAGCAGCCTCACCTATACAACAATGTGACACATCTAGAATCAGAGATGATGCTCAACAAACAGTTTGCCATAGAGCATGGGATCCCCACCAACTCTTGCTACTCCGTGTCTCCTCATCACTCAGGAGTTTACCCCGTACACGAACCATTATACGAAGCCTGGAGAAAAGTGTGGGACGTCAAAGTGACCAGCACTGAGGAATACCCGCATTTGCGACCCGCTAGGTAAGTTTTGTTTGATGTTACCAACTATGTCTATTTGTTCTAACTAATGTGGATGTTAAGTTGCGATCAAACACGAACACAGTTACCTACATTACCAAATATTCGTGTTCTAAATGTAAAGAACTTTGTTCTTTAACCAAACAGATATAAAAAGAATAGAAATTCCGTCCTGTTCTCGCAATCCCGAGTTAAAGATTTAATTAACGTGGCCGAGCAACGAAAGAATTTTGGGTGGAATTCATGTTCTTGCGCTGCGTTCGTTAGGTTTGAACGGGCCTTTATATGAATACTTCGTGCCATTCGTTTTCGTATTTTATTAAAGGAAAAAAGGGTTTCCTTTGTTTATTCCTGTATTAGAACGTTGGACAGTGGCTATGTTTTAGTATTTAATCAACGGCACACACGTAAATAACTGAACACCAATTGTGGCAAGTTAATTAGTAAAGGATAGAAATAAAGATTTTGCAATTGGCCGTAAATTATTCGCATTATGTTAACACAGAAGCCTGCATTCAGATTACACTACGTTCATCTACTACATTCCAACAAAATTACTCGCAAACAATCAAGATAAAGCATAATTACATAATATTTATTAATGATACCTAGTTGTGATATTATCAAACCAATAGCAATAAGTGTTCTGTTCACCCAAATGTTTGCGGTAAGTGTGCGGCTTCACCCAAACTCATGTTGACCGCAAACGTTGCGTTGGGCCACTACTCGTACCATCGCGATATTCAGGCGTCGAAATTCCAATAATTATATTAATTCCATTGCACCCGAGTATTGTTCAGCAATAGTATGTATGTTTAAATGTTCGAAACGAAATCAGTTCTGATTAAAACGGCTCTATCGTGTACGGGATTGTTCGGTTCCGAGTTGTACGTACTTTGTTTGTTGTAGTACTGTTTTGTTCGAGCTAAATATAGTTGTGTTGAATCTCATTCAGTGGGTCAACAATGCAATTTTATCCTTAATGTTATCAGTTTTAAATTTGTATTTTGTGTGATATGTAGTTATATTTTTTTTAAAACTAAAACACATCTGTACGCTTATAAAGATTTATACACCCACACAATAGGAGAGCTGCCTAAGTAATAACACAATTAGACACATAACATCACGCCTTTTATCCCCGAAGGGGTAGGCAGAGGTGCACATTATGCCACTATACAATGTAACACCCACTTTTCACTATTTAAGTTATGAGTCCCATGTAATAGGGGGTGAGCCTATTGCCTTATACCGGGCACAATTCCAGACTCCGTGCTACTACTGAGAATTTTTTTAAAACCCAGTAATACTTTGCCCGACCCGGGAATCGAACCCGAGACCCCTTGCCCGGCAGTCGCACTTGCTACCACTCGGCCAACGAGGCAGTCAATAACACAATTAGATTAAATGGAATATTGATTTGAGTGCGACTGGTCTCGCTCACCAACAATACAAGAATACCTCTAATAAATTCACAATTGTTGCTCCAATTGTAATGTTTGTTCACGTGTATGGAACTCTTCTACCATAAGCGATAGTTCTTCAAATATTTGCCCACAAAATGAGTGTACTCAAATAAAACGAACTTTTCATAAACAATCGAGTAACCATACTACCGTACAGTTGTGTTGACTTATTAACTTGGCTCCGAGCAATTAGAGATTGTAAAACAATTCAGCTTTATACACATTGCTTAATCTTTACTTACTCCAGGGAACAGGTTTCACGATACGGAATGTACATGACGCGCTAATGTGCAGCTTTACATATTCATGTGTCGTTGTTAAAATTATGTATGTGTTTAATATTGTCCTCGAGTGTACATAAATGCATTCGTACATACCTGGCCGCTTTGTTTCACAGTACACGGTCTACAATTAGATAATTGTGCTGTATTCCAATGCGCTCTCATGTTCTCCTATAGGTACATATTGAATTACGTCATTTGGTATCCGAATGTAAATCTAATTTGTGGTATATAAAAGTTTAATTTGCATTATTGACTCGTTATTTTCAAATTGAGTGATCCTGTGTCCTTGTCTACGAGACGCCGTTTGCAGTTTATTTTTACTTAGTGTTTTATCAATCACTAGCACTAACTTCCGCGCGGTTTCACACGCTCTGGTCAGCTCCAATTGGTCGTAGCGTGATGTTTTATAGCCTATAGCCATCCTCGATAAATGCGCTATCCATCACAAAAATAATTATTCAAATCAGACTTGTAGTTACGGAGATTAGCGCGTTCAAACAAAAAAAACAAACTCTTCCGCTTTATATAATAGTATAAGATAAATGTCCACAAACCTGGTAGGATAGGTTATAAAAAACTGATTGGTGTAACTGTAGGCTGTAGCACTTACTGAAGTATATAACTATTTAACAACATTTGATAATATACTATAGATATTTACCTTTGAAGTTATATTCCACGTTACACATTTTTATTTCAACCATTACATGCATAATGCTGTACAAAGGAAACAATAAATGTATCAAGATCTTCAAGTTCGATAACTACACTGTCGTTCTAGCAATACCTACTGAATTTAAATAAAAAAATGCTTGTCACGGGACCTAATTACTAGCTATCTTACTAGTCATCTAGGGGCATGTTCTATGTGTTTAATTAACTTAGAGCAATGTAACACACGTTGTATTAGTTTTTTTTTACAAAGTATCGTTGAAGGTTTCATAACATAACATAACATCACGCCTTTTATCCCCGAAGCGGTAGGCAGAGGTGCACATTATACCACTGTACAATGTAACACCCACTTTTTACTATTTTTGTTATGAGTCCCATGTAATAGGGCCTATTGCCATATACCGGGCACAATTCCAGACTCCGTGCTACTACTGAGAATATTTAAAAACCCAGTAATACTTTGCCTGACCCGGAAATCGAACCCGAGACCCCTTGCCCGCACTTGGCAGTCGCACTTACGACCACTCGGCCAACAAGGCAGTCAGTTTGAAGGTTTCAGTCAGTTACAAATAAACAAAGCCACCCACAATATACGTAACTCTTATTTAGTCACGTGCATATTTAACCACGTGACTAATATAAATAAACTTCACAACAAAAAATAAATGAACTCAAAGTTTGCACGTGACTAAAACTTCAAACAATTCCACAATCATAGATTGGTAAATATATTTTTTTTTCGTAGGTTACGAAGGGGTTTTCGGCATAGAGGTGTTATGGTTCTCCCACGCCAAACTTGCGGACTTTTTACACACACGCTGCTACTAGAGAGATACCCAGGCGGCCGGCATCGTCTCGATCGTTCTATACAAGGAGGGGAACTCTTCCAGACAGTCATCAATAACCCTGTAAGTACCTACAGTCATTACACGTAATTTTGGTTGCCGCTCGCAACACTAACTGGCCCCCTGAGCCCATACTGATTGATATTAAAGGAGGCGATTACAAATTACCGAGAACCATTACTGATATTTTACCATACAATAATTAAATTTTAAATTCCAATAATTAGAATTTATATAAAATTAAAATTCATAAATGTGGAACACGTTAGGCAAATAAGTTATTTTGTATTTCTAAATATGGGACGGAACACATAAAGGGAGATTTTCACGATAAAGCCAGCTGCCTCAAAATATTCTAGAGCTGGCTTTCAAAGCTGTTTACGTCAAATTCGTTGGCAGTATACATTATACATAGATAGTAACACTGTGCTGGTAGTTCGGGCCGAGCGGCCGGCTGCCTCGACCGCTCTATTCAGGGCGGGGAACTCTTTCATAAGGTCATCAATAACCCGTGAGCACTTGACATGTTTGCGCTAATATCAAGCCTGTCTAACTTCTTTGTGATATTAATAAATGGCGCCATGTCTGATTTCTTTGATAGTTCACTAATAGCTTGGCTGTTTTCAACTTTATTTTCGTTTTTGTAATTACTTTCTACGAATGAAAAGGGAACGTCTCAATGTCACGAAAATTAGTCTACGTTTAACGTTTGTAGTGCTTCGAACGTTTATATATATTTCTCTTTGACTAATTTTGGCAACGTCAGCCTATTGTTTGTGTATGTTTTCGGATTTACATTAATAAGGATGAAAATATTTATTTCAAAGCTTGATTAATATCATCGAAGCTTCGATAACATCAACGTGAAGAACGTTTAACTTTTAATCGATAGCTAACAGCACTAGTGTCGACAAACCGTACTTGATACGCAAACCACTTGTAGCCGTGTACAGTCGAGGACAGTGAATAGCGTTACCGAATAAATTGCGTAACGGTAGCTCAATAAATATTATGACTACTCCACTGCTCCAACATTGTGTTTCAAAACAAATACTTGTTATGGGGATGAGTCTACTAACGAATACTATCATTTATTTTATCATGCGTTTACTTTAGTATCTACTACATGGTACATTATGTATCACGCAAATGGGTCTAATGTTCTTTAGCATTTAAGTGCTTGTATTTATTTTCGTATAGTTTATAGGGTTTTTCTATTTAGTAATTAAGATACAGATTAGGTTGGAGTTATTACGCTCTTATTGTCAAACTCAAATAGCAGCTTATAATAAGTCACAGTAGTTTCAGAAAATTATACAACAGTTTCTAAAGAGAAATAACGTCTTAATATATACACGACTAAATCATTCCGATTCCCGCTCTAAATCCGTCCCTTATGACGTCAATGTAACAATAAAATTGCTCCACAGATCAACGTGTTTATGACACACATGTCAAACTATGGAAACGACCGACTGGCTTTATACACCTTCGAGTCGGTTGTGAAGTTCCTGCGATGTTGGACTAATGTACGGCTGGCGTCTGCACCGCCGCTTGCACTGGCTGATAAGTACTTCCAACTGAGACCCGACGAACTGAATCCGCTGTGGGGGGTGAGTGTTTATGATATGAGTTCGTATTGCGTAACTATGCTTGGTAAATGTTTTTGCTACAGTCCTAATTCTGTCTTACTTCTCTAGATTCATTACTTACTGGTTTGTAAAAAGATTTTTCCTGTGTTTACTTACTTTGTTCGTGAGTTTTGATTGATTTGATTTTAAACTTCATCACAATTTTAATCAACAAATGGTCTCATATTTTTTAGATATTATTTAATATTTATTTTGAAATAGCAGTTGCATTTTGGACTATTTTTAAAATACAAAACATTTTGCTCGGTCTGCAAATTGAATTGTATATTAACTAAAATATCGAATACGTCTATCGAATATCGAATATGTGCATTAAAATCAGTTCTAAACACAGCACATAACTTGTTTGTGTGATGGAAATAGATAGCGGGCGCTAATGTATCGCCATCGATCAATTCCGTGTATATGACCGACTGGCCATGTCGCCCGCGTCCTGTGTTTAACCGACTCGCGCAATTTGCTGGCAAATTGTATATTACGGATTAGAGATGTATCGATCCAGTTTATGTTCTCCTAGTAGCACTAGGCTATAAACGGAAAGCCATTGGATGCATTAAATTGAATTTTAAGTAGGTTATAAATAAGATTCATGAATATTATTAAATTATTTTTGGTATCCTACGTAATAATAGTAACTTGACCTTATTACGAAGTCCTCATAAAAGCTTTGTAAAGACGCAGTCGTACTTAAGTGCACTGTTATTGTTTCAATTTAGATAGAGAACGATAGAGCTCTTAGTTATTTTATACATTTTAGCCAAAGACTTTTCCGTAGATAATATCTTGTTGTAGCATGCAACATTCAACTGACCTAGATATGAAAATTGTCCTTTATCAAATTTTGGTTTTGTAGAGAATTTGAAACAAGCCTTTTATGTAATTATATACAAAGCCCGTACCTAGGGAAGGTTAACGTTGTACATTGCCCATCAAATTAACAAACGCGTCGAGGTTCTCAACCACAATTATGTACGAGTACCTAAGCTTCCAAGGAAATTTCATATTCATCCTATCCCCCGTTACGTCAGGACTAAAACAAAGGAACTCGATTTTATTCAGTCGCTATATAACACGGTTCTCACATCTGAGTGCACACCAAGTCGAATCCTTCCTTGGCTCTGACAGTTAGAGTTGTGAATCTATTAATCAGTTATTCTATTTAACAAACTTCGATGAGTCTTTTGATGCAAATAAAATAGACTGTTACGCTTTGGAGACGTCGGCTGAGGAGCTATTGTATTCGAATCAATTAACTTTCCGTTACTGTCTGACAGTTGCTCGCCCCGTTTCTGCTTCAATACATTCGGACCGTAAAGTTGGAAAATATTCATCATAAATTTTCTATCATCATTTCGCCTCGCTATTATGAATATTGAGTAAGATTTTCGTGGCCCTAAATTTTCAGTTTAAACAAATGAATGATTTGGAGGAAAACGAGTGTCCGTTTCATTTCAACTGTTACCGGGGAAATTGATAGGCACCGCGGAATATTCCAATTGAAGACAATGTTTTCATTTTAAACAGGAGTTTTGTTCAAAGTTTTCCTACGCTACTGTGTTAAAAGCTTTTGTGACTCGTGTAAACCAATGGAATCTCCCATCGAAACTGAAAGATTATTATTATGTTATTATGTATAACGTAGTATATGCTTGCTTATTTATAGAAATATTCGGTTAATGTTGTTATTTTATAAAATTCCGATGTAGGTTGTACTAAATCTAACAATAAAATTAATTAGAGGCAAGGGCACCAGAGCGAGCAAAAATGAACGGCAGGCAACATTCAGCTCATAAAAATGACTTTATGAAAATAAATATGGTATAATTTTAAACGTAATTATAATTCATTAAACTTTGTAATGAGGTCGTGCCGTCACATTTTACTACACAGCAACTAAAATACGAGTTACGTTTTGTCATTAATTAATCATTATGGCATTAAAATTTTCACATATTTAATTAAACGATAACAAAGTTACCGTCGATGCGACAACCGATCCGTGGGTAATTAATTTTATCGATAACTGAACGATCGAACGAACAATGATCGTAACTAAGCGCACGCTATCACAGGGCAAGAGTCTCCAAATCATATCGTGTTACATAAAGTGATTAATCAAAGTTCGCCAGTTTGGCACAGATATTACAATTTATGTCGAATCCATACCGATCTTATAAGCACGAGTACGCTCATATCGTTTCGCACGACGGCACGAACTTGTGAGGAACAATATGCATGTCGGGACTTTTAATATTTTATTGGGCTGCGAGATATGTGCGCTATCATTGGAACATGACAGAGAAATTGAAAATACATCACATTTTGTGCGGCGGGACGTAAAAGCTCTTGTTTATTGCTCTGATAAAACTAGAATTGATATTGCATTCGTTCGTAGATGTGTCAAGATCAGAAACCTTTGAATTGAATTGAAATTATAATATGTTGTAATAAAATGTTAAGTGTTTATGTTTGATAGACTCTAAAGTCCTACTTCGGTAGTACTTGGGTACCTAGTATTCAAGGACTTTGAGAAATGGCATATTGTAACGAAAACATACCCCATGATCAATTTTCACATTGAATTTATGATAGAAAAGATTACTTAATAAATATGTAACCCGTGTGTAGGTAACAATGTTAAAAATAAAGTGCGTGTATCGAATTAAACTTAACTTAACTTCGTGTAATTAAGTGTGGGAGAGCCATGCTTCGGCACGAATGGGCCGGCTCGACCGGAGTGATACCACGGCCTCACAGAAAACCGACGTGAAGCAATGCTTGCATTGTGTTTCGTCGCGTGAGTGAGGTTACCGGAGGCCCAATTTCCCTCCCCTTCCCCAATCTCCCCAATCCCTGAATCCCCAACAATCCTCAAACTCCTAATCCACAAATAGCCGGTAACGCACTTGTAACGCCTCTGGTGTTCCAGGTGTCCATGGGCGACGCCGATTGCTTTCCATCAGGTGATCCGTCTGCTCGTTTACCGGCTTATGCCATAAAAAAAAAAAAAAAAACAAAGAAGTTTATTTTGTTTCATGTTTTTAATATATTTGTATCCCGAGCTCAAACGTTTCCTCAAATAAAATTCATTATTAATAATGCTTATTAAATATAAAACTAGAATCGGATAATACAAATGAAAATAATATTTTCATTCAATTTAGAAAGAAAAACTATTTGCTTTAAATCTTTAATAACGAATTTTTCCGTTGAATAAAAAACTGGCAATGTTAATGTGTAATCTAAATATTTATAATTTCCGATATTAATCTAATACTTACATTATTAATATTTGTTTATTCGGGTGTTAGTTGTTGATGTTCAAATTTAGATTTCGCTGTAGTGTTTATATGACTTCGTTTCCTTGGAACATAAAGTGATCTAGCACATAGCTAAATAAGAGACTGTAGTCATCACTGTAAAGTATTTAGAAAGAAAGAAAGAAAAACCATTTATTTCTGCGCAAAACACACATAACATAATTATTTAAAAAATAAAAAGAAAACAAAAAAAAGCTAAAAAATTAAAATGAAGTGAGATCTTGTCCATGGTCCACAGACTTATTATTTACTTTTGCAATATTGGGAACTAGAAATATCAATGGGGTCGATCGTCAACATGCTATTTGTTATTTTACATATAGCATGTTGACGATTGACCCCATATTAGAAGCAATGAGTACAATTTTAAATTGTATGAAAATCAAACAAATCTTAGGAGCCGTATATTTTTTTGCGATAAAATTACTATTATATTTTAAGTTACAATCTATTTTTATCTTTCAACTTTAAGTTACAAAATTTAAATTGTATACATCTAAACCAAGCACCTATAATATTTTTTTTAAACAAAAGAAACTCAAATAAAGTATTTCTTCTAGAATCCATGTGATGACATCAGACACCGACGCATTTGGTCGAAGAGCAAGTGGTGTGGGACTCTGCCTAAAGTGCTGGTAATAGGACCGCAGAAGACGGGTAGTACTGCCCTGTATACGTTCCTAGCCATGCACCCTGCCCTAGCGCCGAACTTGCCAAGTCCTACCACATATGAAGAGCTCCAGTTCTTCAATAACAACAACTATCTTAAAGGACTCGATTGGTAAGTACAAGCTTTCAGTATTTTTCGTTCTTTATACATTTAACGCGAGGGTTTTAGAGTCATCTGTCTATTGTTATACAACTATTACGGGTTTCTACTTCGGTTTCCCGTTTTTCAGAGCCTTACGATAGAAATGGCAATGTAGTGTGGGTGTTATAGAAATTTTCCCTTTTGAAGAGAAACCCAGATGTCATTTTCCTTTAGCAAGATCTTTGTTACTCCTTGTAGCATACTACCGAATAAGAAAAGGTACTTTCTACCCACGGCATACTGGCGATGCTATTTTATTTTCGCTCATGTTTCGAACAGCAAGCGGTGCCGGTTCTTAGCAAAGAGGCCACTTCAGACTGCAGTACCGCGCTATAAACATTCCTTACCACACATTCTGCGGTTGAGGTTTGCCTCCGAATACTAAACACGTGAAAATAAACTTAGCTTTGATAGATTTCCCGAATACTTATAAACCTAGTTAACTATCAATTCACAAATCAACATCTAACCAAAAAAGCCGAAGTTGCAATCGTCCACGTTCTAGCCGTATGAAAAATTTTCCACATTATTTTTCACTTTTCCCTACCAATTTATTAAGCGCGTCCAACACAGGTTTTCCGGGTAAAGTATATTTAAAACAAGATATGTATCTAGGCTGTAGGGTTAATTATTCTATTTACTTTATTTAATGTTCTCTTTCTACGCGGTTTCATTTGGGTAAAAAGTATTACCTGTTTAAGTATGCCGCGCGGTTACAAAGCCCACGTTCGTTTCAAAAGTGGCGTGACGCGTTACATCTCATTAATATAACAGCCGAGTTACGCTTAAATTAAAGTATTATACGAGCAACATTTAAGTTGATATTCTAACGAGAGTTGTGTGGGAATGCGACGAAACTATTAATTAGCCGTCATACGTAAGTGTGAAGCCTGATTTCCCTGAAGGTTATAAAGTACTACTAGTACTAGGTAGGTACTGTAAATGGTGGTATCCAGTTTGCTGAATCTCGTGTGTAAAAGACTAAGCTATCCGCGTCTATCGGGCACAATGCCAATCTTAAGCGTCTAGTGCTGAGAATTTTCTTCGAAACCTCTGCGACACTGCCAGATCTACGAATTGAAGCCAAAACTTCTTAGTTTAGTGGTCACACTTGTGACCGCGGATCCAATGAAGTGCCGATGCCAACTATTAATTACACCCAAAAGTAACATTATTATTGATAAAGCTAGAAAACAATTAAAAAAGTTAAATTGCTGGCATTAAAATAATGTTTACCAAAGGATATGGAACAGATTTAAATACGATATTATGTTTTCACAATACGTAACATTGGAAAATTAATACTCCAAAAATAAGAAAAAATATCATGTAGATTTTAACGTGGGCTTTTATTAATTGCTTAGTGGGCGCCAGCCATATTTATTAATATGCTTTCCCACATAATATGAGACCAATAATAAACAGAACTACTGAAAAGTGGGTTTGCCATTAACACCTACCAACTCTTGGGACAAAACGAAGACGAAACAAGTCATCTTATGTTATTTGTTGTTTATATTACTGAAGTAGTTCGACCACGTTTGTAGTTTTAGTTTCTATATCTGAAGTAGCAGGAACTTTGTTGTTCTATATTGAATCTTAAAAGTTTATGGCTTTAAAGGTTGTAATCGTGATGAAAAGGCAAACGGCAGTAAAGCAACTGCAACCGAAGGTAGCCGCCACAAATAGTAGTATTGTATATTGAACATAAAAAATATACGTCCTGAAGGCTAAAATGCGAAGCACGGAAAGTTACTTACGTACACAATACTTTAAAATGGAACAATTTCAAAGTTAAAGATTGTAAGTTCGCGTAATATGTTTCACAGCTTTTCTTCGAGACTTCGTTTAAAAGTTCAGTGACTTCGTAGTCACCTCCGAGTAGTTTGCAGTGTTTACATTGTTTGTTTAGGTATTCAGCCATTAAAATATTTTGTTTAACGTTAACACATATTTGGAAGTCTAGTATTTCTTTTTACTTTGGTTTTAGTGATATCCCTGCTACCTATATGTTTCCAATAGGGCTAGTTAGATACATACATACATTACATATTATGTTTACATAAGTTACATTACATATTTTTTACATTACATTACATATTATGTTTACATATTATGTTTACATAAGTTTAGTTTTCTTTTGATATTGGTTCTGTGTGTACCGATAACTGTGGTTCAATGTGTATTGTGAGCAATCGTGGGTTGATCGCAGCCACTAGCGGTTTTCCTGTGGCGACCAGTAGCGGCCATGAAGTGACTGCACCTTCTGTATAAAATACAACGAGCCTTAATCCAATCAGTCACTGGTCAACACTATTATTGTACAGTTTTATTTCCTCGGTTTTAGTTTTAACTTCATGGAAATAAAACCCGTTCTTAACACAATTATATTGCACTCGATGTTGAAACTCGGAAGTGTTCGCGTTGAAATTGATTAACACTTCACCTTTCGTATTATTTCATAGTGGTTTAATGTTTTCTAGGAGAATTTATAAAGTAGGTAAATCCGTCTTTTCACTTAGCATTAGCACTATAGCGTACTTCTTAAGCCACACTATAACGTCATTTATTTAGACCGAGTCCTGTATAAATAAAAGAAAACTATGAAAGTAAATTCTCAGCGACTTAATCTTAAAGGCATTAAATTCTCGCCTCTTCTGTAGTCACTTTGTGAAAAATATCTGAATAACTCATGCGTTATCTAATATTATCAAGTACAATGGCTAGTGGTAGCTTCGGAATACGCCAGTGTGCGTTAGTTCCGTGAAGCTGAATCAACTGAGCGCTGAGACGAAAGAATGGCCACAGAAGGTTTTAATGCTTTCAGCGAATGCTTTTCTCCTTATTTAAATGACGTCACAGAATGTTACAATGCGGATATAATGGGGGAGCAAGTCTGGTGCATGTTAATGTGCATTTTAGCGAATGGAATTTAAATGGCTTTCACACTTATAAAAGTGCTTATTTAACTTGGGTACTTACGTAATCTTACGAATTATCATTTTCTTTGTTTTGATAGATACTACAACAAATACAAAGCTTTCTATTAAACCCAATCACACAAAAGCATAAATATACATTTATGCTATTACACACATACGTGTGTAGAGTCAATAATGCAGTTTGAAGTTTATTAAACAGCTTCCTCTTAGAGCTGTAAAACACTTACAAAACACCGCCATTGCCTTGCAAAGTAAATCGTCTTTAACTATTCAAAACATCATCAATATAAATGACACGAGTTTCTCCCAAGATTCTGAATAATGAGCTCGTAAGAAGACTCATGTTTATCCGATGTGTAGCCTAGATAAGTTCTAGTCTAGACCACTAGGTGAGGCTGTGCACGTATTACCTTGTTACCATCGTACGTGATCTCAGACCCGCCTTTACATTCCTTTGATAACCAACGAGAGATTGATTTACGATAAAGATGTCGCTAATTAGCCATTTAGGCCCTTATTGTCCTCATTCTATCAATTCATATATTCGAAAGCCTATGAAAGGACCGTAAATTAACTATAGAAACGGTAAACGTGTGTTATCAATTTCCAAGACTGGATTTAATGTTAAATAGGTATCGTATGTTGTTTACATACATTTTCTTAAGACGTTTTGAATAATTGCTTTCGTAATTACGGTTCAGTTATAGGGAAAGTGCTTGAAGTGTTATCGGTATATTGGTGTATCAATGTTATGATGGTATTAGTCACCTACACTTAATATTTCGACTATGACTGTGGTGTTTCTTGAGATTTAATTACTTGATTTTTTTAATTCAAAAAATAAGAAAATGTTCTAGAGTGTGTGGATGTAGCTGTAGAAATTATCGGTTAAGTACTAAAATTATTGGCTCCACGTTCTTACTGTGAATGTTCAAACATAAACCACAAATTTGCCTGATCTAGAAAGTGAACCTACCTAGACTGAAATATTCGGACGCTGCGTTTGAATCAAACGACCAACCGCGGCGGTCTCTTAATTAAAGTTGCGAATAAATTTTGTCTCAGGAGCTATCATTTTACTTAAAGATACTTTAAACTTGTGCCATATTTCCTAGCATTAATTTTCTCAAGGCATATTATGTAAAATGACTTCAGACATTGAGCGTTGCTTGAAGCGGACAAAAGAAAATTGGTTGTTGCGTCTACCGCTACCGCATAAATTGTTTGACGGCTATATAAAAACGTCCTCATTTTTACGAAAACTTATATACTTTGGCACTTAGGTAGTATAATCAAAGAACATTGAGTGCTAACTGCTGTCGTTTATATTATAAGTTTCAAGGTTTAAAAAGTTTTGTACTAAAAACAGAAAACAATATGAAAAGGTACTCAATTGTTTCTTCAAAGGTCTAAGTTTTTCACAGCGGTATTTTGCATGCCTTTTAAGCAGATATGTTTTATTTGATTAAACTATGTAGTGACTTCTATTAATATTTAAAGCCTAATACTAATATTTAAATAAAAGTACTAGAGAGGTAGGTATATAGTTCTAGTTACCTACGACCTAAGAGAAATAGTCCTGTATAGATGTTGCTAGGGGATCTTTGAGAGCAGGAAGTCTTACAAGATAAGATGTATACTTACCAAATACTTTTCTCCGCCAGGTACTTAAACTTCTTCCCACCAAACATGAGCAACACTACGCAGATCACGTTCGAGAAGTCGGCAACTTACTTCGATGGCGACTTAGTACCACGACGGGCGCACGCTCTCCTACCCAACGCTAAGATCATTGCCATACTTATATCTCCGTCTAAAAGGTAAGATAAATAGAATTGTATTGTAATTAAACACTGTTACGAAACCTACCAACGGCAAGTACCAATGTGACTTTTCCCAGTTATATGTACTTTCTAAGATTACTTAGACACCACAGACAAACGGTGAAGGAAAACACCGTGAGGAAACCTAGCCTTATAATTTCTAATTAGTTTGTTTAACTAAGAAGTTTGATATCACCAACCCGCATTGAGCAAGCGTGATGATTAATGCTCAAACCTTCTCCATGCGAGATGAGGCTTTGCTCGGCAGTGGGCATTTATAGTCTGTTGATGATGATGATGTAAATATCTAGTAGTTACAAGCGAATATTATATGTTTAAGCCTGGGTTCATTCAAAGATACAGTATATATTAAAGTTATTACAAAAAGATATTCTGACAAAATATTCCAGTAAAAAATATAGGTACTGAGCACAGAAGGATAAAAAATTTCAAAGTTCATATCTTTTTTTACATACTGATGTTTTGTCCTAGATATAATATAGAATAGCACCTTTGATTTAACTTGTAAATATAAACAATTGAAAAGAAATATACCCCAGCTGCACAAGTGCACATTCATTTTAACTCGGCCACTGTATATGCGCACTGGTTTGTATGTAAATCCTCTGAATCTGGGACTTAACGCATTGGCGATTCAACCGCGCACCGGTGTGTGCAAGCTACTATCATGGCTACTCAGCTATTTGGAGTTAGTCTTGGTACAAATTTTCATTCGAAGTACAACGTAACAATCAGTTTTCTTAAAGTAATAAAACATAACATCACGCCTTTTATCCCAGAAGGGGTAAACAGATGTGCACACTTAATGCCACTGTACAACAAACACTCAATTTTCACTATTTATGTTATGAGTCCCATATAAATCATATAATACGGGGTAAGCCTATTGCCATATACCGGGCACAATTCCATAAAGATTTCTTACCTATTTGAAGAACTGACATCGCATTAGTTAAAGCTGTAAATATTAAAACTTATCTAATTAATGAGACTGGAGCAGGCTTGATTATATTTTAGAAACTAGGTATTAAAAAGGCAAACCATCTTAATTAACCTATCTCCTGACATTTTCACCGTCAAAAGACCTTAACTAAGTTATCTCAACAATTTCCAGGACATGCTTCTAATAAAAGCTAAAATGACTTTCCTTGTCCTTATTAATATTCCCGGTATTCAAATTCTGAGAGCGTCTCCAACTATATTAATAATAAATTTATATCAGATTCGCAAACGGGAGTCGAACGATAAAACCACACGACTGTAGCAGCAATTAAAACGAGTAACTAATGCACTTGAATCTTACGACGGAATTAGAAGATGTCGAAAGAAGAAAATATTTTATCAACCATCCGACAGGCCGCGTTCATCAAAATGCAAATTTTAAACCTGAATTTATATCCGCGAAGTTTTCGAGAAAATTCATTTGAATACGTTTGCCTATTTTTATTATATTGCCTAGAATAACTTGGATGTCTGATTTGTTTCTAATCAGTTTTCGATCGACTACATTTTCACTATAACGAACAAAAAATGATCGCAGAAAAATATACGTTAAAACGTCCACCTACGTAAAAACGAGGATAATAAAAACTCACCGATATACCGATATTTCAAGAACATGTCGAGGTATTTATAGGTGCGTATCAACCTCATTCCTATTCATCAAATGTTCATTATATCAAATTCGTACTATGTTCGAGCTTACACAGACAACATAATATGTCGGTCGTCTCTGTTCTAATTGTTGCAACACCAAATGTGGTTATTTACGACCAAGTTTAATATGCTCTGTAGCGAACTACAAAGGAGCATAAAGTACATAGATACGTTGTAATTAATTGCTCTACGTGTTAAGCATCTATGAATTGAGGACATGGTTAACAAAGTGTTTGATGAAAAATTGCCTCGGAGATTCGGAGTATGAGAAACGGAATGTGACTTAATTAATTTAATGTCTCATGTCCGAATTCTGATCGCGATGGTTAATCTAATCTCCAAATATGGACGACATGTACAATACCAATGTGAGCGCTTTCCAAGGAGGAATTACGTTCCGAGTAATTCGGCGAGATAATAAATATACGTTTTTCTGCTCGCCAGGTGGCGCTTTTGATATATAAAACGCCATACCATTAGCTGCCATTGTAAAATGTTTAGTGTAGTAATAGGTTTGCTCGATAGACCGGCACTAGATAGATTTACACGACACTAATGCCATTAGCAACGGAATTCCTCATTCAAAGGGATTACGAATTTGCATCTACATTGGTCAAAGCACCCGTGATTAATCGAATTGCCACTGACCGTTTCTCCATCTAAAACGCAGTACTTATTCTCCCGACCTCAAGGAAGATCATTAACTGAAGTCCACAAAAAGAAAATGTTTTCGCAAAGCAAATCTAACGTAAAAACCGAAATAAAACAAAAACATTGACTCAAATCTATCTTGTGTAATTCGTCATTAGTAGTCTTAAGTAAATTACTGTCGATTGAGGAAAAGCGTGGGTCTGCAAAAGAAGATCGTAACTCAAGCCAGTAAAACTGCTCGCTCAAATCCGAAACGTTATTGCGGTGCGGCGTCAAGCATTGGCTGTCTTGAATTTATGCTCTTCAATACTACATTGTTACTTGACAAAACATTTTAAAATATATCCTTTAATATGATTGCCTTCGATTTCTAGCTGTGTGAGTAAAATCAACTTTATTTTCAGAGCGTAGAGTTCAAACAATGAAACAACTTATAATATTTATGTTACAATATTTAGAATAGTACTTATAATAATTATTATGTTTCCAACCTGTTATCATAATAAACAAACCTATAGTAGATATTATGTATCGATCGTGAGAACAACTTTGTTCAAGGTAAAAACTAATGATTTAATTCCAATGTATGAAGGTATCTAAGTCATACCTACGACGGAGGTATCACTTTAAAACTGCTATGTACCGGGTACAGATTTTAATATTGACACTATTTTACTTATATTATTATATCACAGTTTTAAATACTCGATTGAAATTTAAATGTTGCGCTTTTCACCATGAAATTAAAATAAAACTTCGAAATATTCGCTTAATATTAAAATGGATTGTAAATCCCTGTATGTATGATTGTAAAACATTCCCAAATAAAAACTGTTCAATTAATACAGGACCTACCTACATTTCCACTACGTTGCCTCCAAATATGAACAGAACGAAAAAGCTGTGAGACTCCTGTAGAAATTAACGAATTTTTTAATATCACAGTAACGTGTCGTGCTCTGAATAATTTACATTAAAATCCGTGTATTTGTTGTGCAGAGCGTATTCGTGGTACCAACACATTCGGTCGCACGGCGATGTGGTCGCCAACAACTACACGTTCCATACAGTCATCACGGCGAATGATTCCGCGCCAAAACCCCTCCGGGATTTAAGGTAAGCATTTTCGCTATTTTAAAATATATATTTTTAGGTTACTCTGATATATTACAGTTTGTGTTTACGAAGTATGTATATGAGTCTGTGCTGTTTGTTATTATAATAGGAAACTGTGCTAAGATAATATTACTTATTATTTATCATTTCTGTTTTCCTTATACAAAGAAGTCACGTTCCGGATTACTACTAAGCCATTTAAATTGTAAAGCGCTCAAAACAAACGTTAAATGCATGTTCTTTGTTCTACGCAGCAATAAAACTTCTCGGATGTCGGGAACAACTACAGCTTCCTAATATAGTCTCTCGTTTTTTCGATCTCAAGCAAAAACCTATATTTTACGTCCGCCTTCGACCCTCTCATATTGGATCACAATTTTTCCACGCGAACCCCGGCGCTTGTACATTAATAACAAATGTAATGCCTTCACTGTACTATTATTTCATCCCCTTCTACTCGTTTATACCATTTGGTTCCTTAACTTCACGCTATTACGACTTGGAGGAAATGGGGGACTTATTGACTTACGTAATCCCGCTTGAAGGGCCAATAGGCATGAAAACGATTTAGTTTCAATTAACAGCCCAACTTGGTGTGAATAGCCAGATACTTAGGCTATGCTTTATCCTTATAGTGCAATACATTTTGGCTATTATTTATGTGCCGTTACATAGTCATTTATTAATTTAATAAGACCGCGTTCTACTGAGGTGTCGATCATTCTATATTCGAAAATGATGAAGTGATAACATCGTTCATAAATCAACGCTCTTAAAGCTTTATTTGCTTTTAATTATGAAAGATACTCAAATACCGCATAATATCCTTAGTTACATCGTAGCAACAATATAAATAACACCTTAGATGTGCTATAGCGTCTGTAATCCAGGCCGACTCCCCAAGACTACGTGACGGCACATCTCCAAAATCCATTTAACATTAAAATAAGCCAGTTATATTTGTGAGCGTGCGCCTCAAAGATTATTGTGTACTTGACAGCGCCATGAATTTATTATCAAGCATCACGCGCATTTCCTCCGCAAGCTAATGTGCTCAGAATGGATTATTAAAATTGATATTGTTTGTATTTTGTACCCTAAATATTATGAATTTTGTTTTAATAGAGAATTTATTATGTTTATTATTCCTCGAAAATCTAAATCAACTGTCCCGTTCACTTCAGTTCGTGTCTCCGATATCCTTAATTATTTTTGTTCTATTACGACTTCCATGCATTCACAGAAGAATGTATTCTTGTTCTAAGTAACTATGTAAGTAATATACCACTTCAATGCCTGTACCTCTTTGTAAGTTCCAGTTCATATGTGTTCATTGTTTTCGTAGAAATCGTTGCCTAAACCCAGGCAAGTACAGTCACTACCTGGAGCGCTGGCTGGCGGAGTACAGTAGCCATCAACTGCACATCATCGACGGCTCGCTACTGCGATCCGAGCCTGCTGGCGTCATGAACACGCTGCAGAAGTTCCTCAAGATATCACCGCATATCGACTACAATAAGTTGCTCAAGTAAGTTATCACTGTGTTTTATCATTAAGATTACTGTTGATGTCCTTGCTACATTTTGGCTTTGTTGAAATAATGTGACATGTAATATGGAATGAAATAATGTGATATTCAACGTTTTTATCCTTTATTTCTGCTGATACAGACACACACAATCTACCTACCTACATAATAAAAACGAGCGTGAGTCTGTGCCCCATGGGAGTAGGCAGATACCAGGGAGACAAGGCTATATTTTCTTCTTATTATTTTCAATACTCAATTTGGTAATGGAATAGATTCTATGAACTCACACCCAAGCAAACTCTTTGATCTGATTTGAAATAATTGTATTTAATAAGATAATTTCACCACCTACTCGTACAAATTCAAAGGTCACATCTCATCGCGTGGGACTGAATGCTATATTTTGATTCCGAAACTTTATTTATATATGCCTCCTTAATTAAATATTCTGACTTATCACTGTCAAATAATTGTAGGCTCAGCAAAAATAAATACGCTTGAGAATTTTATGTGAAGATAACGCTGTTTAAGTACCTACATTAAGTCACGCCGCGCTCTTGTTCCGACATTGTATTATGCTGAGACAACGAACTGGAGAAGATACGAAGACATAAAGCTGGTACACCTTGTAAAGTGATATTGTTCGGTCGCCGCTAAGACCAGCAACCTCTACAATTGCCGATAACTTAGCTACAATGGCCCTTTAAACTCTAGGCGCACAACTTCGTGGAAGCAGCTCGCTGGGACTAATATCACTGCATAATGCCCTATCTACATAAAGCAGCTTGTTGCAATTCTAAGCCTTTCTTAGGAAAATAGCATTTCGTTCCTCGCTGTCGGACTCGCTACAAATAAGTCCATTTTCTGTATCGCATTCCTACTTTCAATTGTGTACTTGATTTAATTTAATACTAAAATAGGTTCTGATTTAGACCTCGCCATGTAGGCTTTTGTCCTGTTCCAACCGACACAATGAAGTCTATGAATAATATATGCCTAGCGAACCTAAATAGTACGTATGGTTTGCAATAACTGAAAATCACGCTCCGCTGGTTCGGACGATTCAATCAAAATAGATGATGAAATTATTGAAAGACTCACCAAATAATAGACATGGGCACCAGAAAGGAAATTTAGCAGGAGAAATGTAGGTAAATAATGTAGAAGATGGATCGTTTGCCTACTGTCCTGTAAATAATAGTCCTATGTACACTGAACGTCAATAGGATAAAGGTCTGGCGTGATGTATGAGTATTTAAGATAGGCAAATATTTTACTCAACATTTTTGTTTCAGATACGATGCGAAAAAAGGATTTTTCTGTCAAGCAGTAGGCAATGACAGGACGAAATGCCTCGGCAAATCCAAAGGCCGGATATATCCGCCGATGGAGGAGAGGTCTGCTAAGTTCCTGAAGCGGTACTACACGCCGCACAACACGGCGCTGTCCAAGCTCCTCGTGAGGATAGGCCGGCCTGTCCCCCAGTGGCTCAAAGATGAATTGTCCTCCAATGGATAGCACACCTTGCAACCTAAAAGGTTGGCACGAAACAAGGTGTTACACGGCTTGATCAAAGTCTGTGTCATCAGCTTCCCTTGACGAAGCCAAGGGTCGGCGATGTGACGGCAGTCCTTAAGTTACAAACTGTGGGCGTCGGTCGCTAGTCGCGCTGTACGCAATGTTGTTCTTTCCAAGTGTTTCAATGTGAGAGTATTCTTGTTGAACAAATATCTTTGTCTATCGATTCTTGTAATATAATGTTTTAAAGAGTGATATTAAACGACTTAAAGTTCTTGATCTGTTTGGACGGGATGAAGAATGATATTATTGTTTTAGTTTAATTTTATTCAACGTAGGGTGTAGTGAATGACTGTGTGTTCCCAATGAAACGGTTACGATTCGACTTTGCTTGCCTGATCATGTTGTTTCTTAGCCATATTTATATGGACTGTGTCCGACGCACTCGTGTGCCGGTCTAGGTGCTATTTGTTAGTAATTTCATTATACTCACATGTTTGGTTACTATGAATTCATCTTGTGTTTATTAGACGCAAATATTTTTTTATACCATCATGATTTTATGCTAAATTGATAACGCTTCGTAAAACTAATTAAGTATAGATAATTATGAAATATTTTATGTTATACATATAACATATGAAATGGTTGCATATATCTTTCATTCCACGCTCTAACCGACCGTCGCTACACGCTTATTTTAATAATATTTTGTTTAATCACAATGTACGTACCTGATGCAATTGTAAATTTGTAGTTAATTTTGTACGTTTCATATAGTGTAGGTGTAACGTTATTTTTAACAATCTCCTTGTCTTTCTGTGCCATAATTATAAAGTAAAGGAAGTGGCACTGAGACGTATATTTTATTTTAATTATTATTTTTATTTTTACATATTATTATATTTTACAATAAATACACACTAGTCTTTTATTTAATGCGGCAGAATCACATTCGTTGAACAGTACCACAGGTGGGCAGTTCGTGCTACGCGGACTGTCCACACTAAATATGATTTCCACACGTCATATCCATTTACATTCAGTTACCGAATTAGCCGTAAGGATTTTTAATATACATATTAAAGATGTCGCGTTATATTTTAAATAAATGATATCAATGACGACCCAATGGAAACATAAATGTATTTGGTATATATTTTGATATGCATAAATTTATTGGCGAGATAACTCGGCAAGGAAGATGAAAGTTTTTGTAAAACTGATTCAATATAGAATGTTTCTTACTCTTTGTTGTAATAGATGTCGGTACTTAAACTTGTAAAAATTCTTTTCTTGTGAGAACTACATAGAGTACAGAAGAATATTACGAAATCGATATTTGAATATAGCGTTAAATATTAATATTTTATGGTACATACGTTTATTGTCTTTTATTTAATGTTTGTCGAGAGGCTTCATATTAAATTTATATAACTTCTGATGTTCTTGATATATTGTGAAGATGTGTGTTACGTAGAAACGGCCTTACAATGTTTAGAAGCGATCTGTGGAACTTGTTACGGTGTTGCAATTTGTGAACATGTCTGAACATGGTTCGTTTACATCAGTCATTGCGACGTTGACGAGGACGCCAGCTCCTCTCAACGGGTTTATGTTCTGTTCAGAATTTACTACCAACTTAGTATCAGTTTCAAAACAATAACATAGCGCCCATGTTAATTTTCCATACCACTTGTTATTTTGTTAGAACAATTGTTAATAACAATACAGCCAATGACTGCTCTTAAAATGTGTTCTTTATAAGAAATTAATACATCACTTATTTTATTAAATGATTTAAACCTCATTCGTGTGTTTGTGTTCACGATTTAACCCTCACTACATTCATGTGTGCTCCAACTCGAAGTAATTCAAATTATTAGCAGTGTAATGGCCCCAGCGAACGTTTAGATAACGGCGCGGATCTGCACTACTAGACCGTTCAAGCGAGACATGTAGATATATTGGATCTCTTAAATATCCTTCCGTATATTTGCAGTAATACGTAACACTGTCAGTCGAGTGCAATTCTGAAGAGATACAACCTAACCGCCCCCGAGCGCCTTGAAAAATGTATTACTATTGCTAGAGTATTGTTCGATAGTCGATACAGAGCGCTCGCACCGGGAAATATGCTCGGCCATAAGTTGCGGTCTCGATATGTGCATACTTAAACAAAAGAAACGCATTAGCTGCACTCCTTTGTTCCTCTGAGTGAAGGAAGCGTCTGCAAACTACCTCCGATATAAAAGAATAAAGATTATAAAGAAACTAAATGTCTAACAAGATTACAAAGTTAGATTTGCGTTGTAGAATATCAGGACAACACGAATGCCGTGACAAATTTCAATAAACGATTAACATTGATAAAATTATGGCGAATTATAGAGGACATATTGTCAATCTCATTATTTACATTACACGGTATAGGTTGATATAATATCTTATTACAGTTAAATATTTACAATCTAAATCAATCAATTTAAAAAGCAAATAATATAATGTCGTTTGAAGACAGTACCTAGAAGGCACCCACAATACAACAGTTATTCTAAACTTTGCATTCTTAGGTAGCTATCAAAATTAACAGGTTGTCGAAGAACAATCTTCCAAAAACGTACTTACCTAATCATAGAAATAATGCACCTACTTTTCCCAAGTAAAATTATTAATCCTATTACAAAGGAACGAGTTCTTAACTACCCTTATAAAAAGCTGAACTACTCACATAATTAGTTGAACCTAAAGTTTTACACTCCATCATGAAGTATCAAAATAAACTTCGTATATTGCGATAAACAAATAGCGCATAAACCAAAATCCGCATAACATAAACTCAATTTTTCACTAGTTACAGAACTATTTCCATCCGATACGAGCGGGGAAAGTTTGGGAAACGCTTATTACGCCTATAAGTGAACCTACCTACATTAGCAAGAAAGCACGTATTCCGCCCTAGTTCGCAACTACATCGGAGTTTCTATTGGTTGGTACATCAGATATACGTGTACTTTGAACATGAGTTAGGTACTCTATGTGCTATAAACACTGTAATATCAAAACGCATCTTGTAAAGAACCTTATACCTATATTATATGTACCTACTCGCGAAGAGAAAAATGATTTACCTACCAGTTTTCTCAGTAACAAGATCGTTGCGAATAGCTCTCCTACTTTGTAAAGTTTATGCTTTGAAAAATTGTATAAGGTACATACCATACTCCATCATAGACCGAGCTGGTGTCTGTACGTGCACTCCAAAATTGCTTGGTAAGCATCCTTTATACCTGCACTTTTAAAATGAAATATTAAATCTACTTCATCCACTAGATTGTGTTCAGTTCTATTTATCATTAGGTAGTAAGAATATTATTACTTCCATCGTATATGTTATCTAACATAGTACAATGCATTTAAATCCTAATTTCTGCGACCTACTTTCCTTAGCAAACTCGCAAAAAAATAAATGTTTCCCTATTTTTTCACCATAATTTCGAACCGTTCACAGTTTGATCATGTTGGCAGCAACTCACCATAAGTCAACTGAAGAAGCAAGCTCGCATCATAGCTTTTATCTTAAAATTACGACAGTGATGGATGACTGGTACCTACATAATTCATTTATCTGCGATTAAGGGTCGGCCGCCTGATGCTCGGTAGCGGCTGCTTCATCAAACTAACTATAAATTGACACGTTAAAATGTTAGTCTAACGTCTTACAGCGGCGTCGATGTGCTCTCTTTAGCTAGAGCGTTGCTTCATTACTCGCTAATTACGTTTAAGTATACCTGATGCTGTGTACTTAGTGGAGCTTATGTATTGGAACACTACTCCAGCTCGTGCGATCAATACTTGAAGTCTTATTTATGCAAAGGGTAGTGAAAAGTTAAGGTAAGAAATTAATAAGGCATAGTTGTAAATAATGTACCTATTATGGCCACCTAAGCCATAATTTTGCTATCTATGTTTAAGGAAATTCCTAAATAATTTGATGGTCCAAACAATATCTGTCCGTGTTGCATAACATGCTTATAAAAATATTACAAAAATGTAGATACCGAGTGCGCACTGCGCGTAATGCAATATAGCAGCTAGGTACACCTAGCAGTAACAAAATTAGACGCGCAAGAAAACTTCCAGCTAGTTATTTTTATGAATAAACGGATTTAATAAAGGCGGAATAAAATGAAATTAAGTTGGCTAAAGCATTTTACATAAAACGATATTAACTCTTTGCCGGGCGTAATAAAAATGTCTTAGAATGTGCACGGGAGCGCATTTGCATCAACCAATTATATGGAAGCTGTGTTACTGGGTGTTTTATACGTAGAGGTAGTTGAGTACGAGACATTTTGCCGTTTTATGACGTGACGACGCCAGCGAGCTTTATTACAAAGACCGAGATAATGTCGCTCCAAATTCTGAGATGTTTGGTCCGTGATGTGCCTTACGGGAGTTGCAATACGGGTTGCAGAATACGTCCATTCAAGAGCAGTATTTGGAAATAGGTGAGAGGCAGCATCGCGGTGCCGACTGTCGAGTGTTTGTTAGAGCTGGTGATAACGCGAGTTTGACGAGCTTCTCGACCTCGCTGCAGGTATTCTATAAATTTTTGATGTTTGTTTGATCATTACCTTCTGGAGTGCATCAAATGCAATACGAGAAGACATCGATTCACTATTTTATCAACGTGGATACACACAATATGTAGATACATTTGTTCCAAGCGAGTTTGTTGTGCACATTATTTCACGTTCGAATGCTTGTTATTTTATGGAGACAAAGGCTTTGGATACAGTCTATAAATAAACATTCAATTTACCTACGAATAACCTTTCAGTAATAAAACCTGATCCTGGCAAATAAATTTTGTAAAAAAATAACAAAGATGTTGAATGTTAATAATACATCTCTTAATAGAAGCTTTTGTTTACTTACGTAGATAAAACAATATTATTTTTAATCAAGCTTTATTTTTTGTGTTAATTATTTAAACTATGTAGATTGAATACAAGAACTTGATTATTGGATCTCACTTTAACAGGTACACGAGTTATCTTTTAGCTCAGGCGCTTGACGACGGGGTAGGTAAAATTCTATACAATTCTGACCATTTATTCAGCTAAATCAGTGCAATACGTATAGTAAATAGCGGCAGTACTCGTGCTCAGTAGTCTTTGTCTACTTTCTGCCATTTGTCTAACAATGGAAGATATTATCAGATTTGCATTTAAAGAGGTAAGTATGCAAAGATAAACGAGTGGTAGCGACCTAATAAATACAGCGGCGTGTCTTGCGGCGCAATCTACGAACAGAAGGATGGCCAACAAACAATATCTAAGTTTGTGTCGCTTTGTCGTAATATTTGCCAAGACTCCGAAAGCCCCGGCAGAGTTTGAGCGACTTCTCGAGCTTATTACTATTTGTGTTGCCAAGATTCCCGTCTCCTACATTTTGTGACGAAGGTATCCATCTTGGAAGCCGCACCGCGCACCAAGCGTTATTTTAATGCCATGTATTCCAATATGACTTCTATTTCTCGTGTGCCCAGAGAACAATGTAAAACGTATCATATCGTGAAATATACTCGTTTTAAAAGCGGAATTTAAATAAAAGTTGGCCGCTGTCGCGTATTATGATGCTAAGTAATGGCCATAATCTTCCTGCTACATAAAAAGGGCTCGACGAGAGCTCCTATTAAACACCTCTCGAATATAAAAAATAACGAGACGCACGTAGCACTCACTAAGTCGCGTTTCTCTTTATTTCGCTACGTATCGGGCGTCAGAATGAACGGCATGTGTTTACGTCACACTAAGTAAGAATAATGGGCGCTCATAAATCAGTGGCATCTTCACGTCGTTTTGAATACTCACAAAAGATGTCAACTCGTAGCTAAGTGTGACTCCTTTCGAGACAAACGGCACAACCAACCCCAATTGTACTGTGTCGTGTTATTTAAATTCGTACAACAAAGGCTAAACGCTCGTCTTGAGCTAGGTTAAAGATTCGTAGCACAATGCTACGTTATTACATCGCCGTAGCGCCGTAGCGTCGTAGCCGTAGTGACACCGTAGACGTGTAGACATTGCTACGACGACCGCCAGTTAGATAAAAATACAGTTAAGTTTTAATTTGAAATTGTTGTTATTTTTTGTAACATTTTATTTACACTAACATCACAATTATTAGAAACCTACTACCCTTTTTTTTATTACCTTATTCTTATTAAAAAGTTAGCCCTATATTCGTTTCAGTTGTATACAATAAATAGACACTATTTTGGGAATTCTATTCTATAACCTCTGCAGTGACCAATGTTTAAAGCGTCGATCCGGTTAACCACGGGTGACACCTATCAAATGCCAATGTAGTTCACTAAACACCATTTGACAGCAGCTACCTAATAGCAATATAGCTGTAGATGTTTTAAATGTATGAATTCGTATGATGAATTATGCTTTTAATCATAGCAGGTAATAATTTTGTACTTATTTAATAAGAGTAGATTTGTAATTAGGAATTTTCTCAAAGAATATTCTTAGTGAAAGTATTTTTAGTTACTATTAGATACATAGAAATAACTTCCCGCCGTATCCCCGAAGGGGTAGGCAGAGATGCAGATACTCCATGTTATAGGGGGTGAGCCTATTTCTATATACCGGACACAATTCCAGACTCCGTGTATAACTAACAAAATCAATTGTCCTATACATAGCACAATGATGTTCAATAAAAGTGTATTCTGCATGGGACCACGAATTTATAATCACTTACCAGAGCTCATACTAGAGATCAAGAATAATG